ATGACATTGGGGCAGATTACATGTAGTTTGATTTTAATCTCTCACTACAACCATCTAGTTTTAACTGGATGCACATAAAACTATTTGACCAAACAACAACAACAGGATAATTTGGAGCTCTATCTGATCAGCAAGTGAAAAAAGCACAGATAGTCAGCCTGTTCACAAAATGCAAAGCTTACATTTACTCAACTAGCAAGTCCAAGAGCACTTTATTGTTAAAGACTGAGAAATAGACACTTTCAGAGCAAAATTAATCTCACTGATTTTAGGTGTCTCCTTTAGAATGAGGTAGGTTGCGCCACAGAAGTACCTGCATCTCTACTGACCATACAAGGACCTCAGGGAACTCAAGTGCCGATACCTGCACGCATTTCTATGGATCTCACCCCAGGTCTGTGGCCCTACGTGGCTGTCTCTGAAAGGCCGAGACCTAACTGCTCACTTCATTCTTCTCACATCAGATACGGAATCTCAGACTGTGAGATCTTTGAATTCATGATGCTTTGGTATCAAAACATCTTAAAATGAGCTACTTTCATATATATGTATTCAGAACTGTTAAGGTTGGAAAAGACCTTTAAGATCATCAAATCCAACGTTAACCTTGCACCGCCAAGTCCACAGCTAAACCATGTCCCTAAGCACCACATCTACGCATCTTTTAAATACCTCCAGAGATGAGGACTCAACCACTTCCCTGGGCAGCCCGTTCCAATGCTTGACAAACCTTTTGGTGAAGAAATTTTTCCTCATATCTAATCTAAATCTCCCCTGGTGCAACTGGAGGCCATTTCCCCTTGTCTATTCAGGTGCTTAGGGACATGGTTTAGTGGTGGGATGGCAGGGTTAGGTTAACGGTTGGACTAGATGATCTTAAAGGTCTTTTCCAACCTAAACAACTCTGTGATTCTATTTAGCACTGAATCGTTAAGGCTTGCCCTCATAGAGACCTATATTATCCAACCACAGCCTGCACATGGATGATCACTAAATGTACACGAGGCTCAAGCCTTCACAGGGGCAGGGAGGGAAAAAAAAAAAAAAAAAAAAATCAAGTCAGGCAACAGATTCATCTTAATTCATACACTATAAGAGTCATGGCTACTAGCAGAAGATTAAGAGAAAGAACATGAAAAACAAATCATGTAGTACAGAATTAGCTTTCCTTGGCATTCCCTCCTAACTTCCAGAAACCAGGAGCCCAGGGACTTCCTGAACTGGAGGATGCACCTGGACCATTGTTTGACACCAAGAGCATCCCTTAATTTCCCTAATCCATTTTGAAATCCGTTTCTATTTTTGGCCATGCCACAATATCCTGTGGCAATGAGTTCCACAATTTAATTATACATTGTGTGGAGAAAAAAACCCAAACATTTTCCTTTTGTTTAGATTAAACCAGTTACTTGGCAATTCTGTAACATACCCTACTGCTCATATTACAAGAAACAGCAAAATCACTTTACTTTCTCTGAATCACTCGATTTATACACATCCTCTTGAGTTATTCTTCTCCACTGCCTTCTCCTCACTAATCTCTTTTCTAAAAGCCCCTTTAGTCTACTTAGCCTTATTTTGCATGAAAACTGTTACAGAAACTCTGGTCATGATCAATACTCGTTATTTCACCAGTTTTTTTTTTTTTTTTTAAGTCATACTGTATCATTTGCAAAGTTGTAGAGTCAATGAAAGGATCCATAAGCAAAACCAAAAATCTGAGTCTACAACAGGATATAGTTTTCTGCTTGTTTTCAGTTTCTTCATTTGTGCCTGAATACTTCATTCACCTTTTAGGTGGTCACTAAAAAAACCACCAAATCAAGCTGATACATATCCACACTGACTCCACGATCTCTGAATTTAGTACCTACTGTGGTCTGTGTGCAGTTATTTTTTCAGTAGCAACAAATCAGTTTTGAAAGGCTGGTAAGGTACAGGAATGTATGTTGGGTAATTCTGATACAATAAAGAAACAAAAATTTTATCTGCTGTACCACAGAGATATTTTCAACTAAATTCTGAAAATAAAATAGAACATGGAACAGTGCTCTGGGAATACTGACAAGCCACCTCCGAAAATGCAATACATGAATAAGGGAATAATATTTTTGCAGAAAATGGATGTATCACAAATAACAGTAAGCAAAAATGGCAATTTATTTCTAACATAGCACAGTTTGTTGCTGTAACATCTACTCTCTACAGCAGGCTTTCCTAGGGGTAATGGTCTTCCACATAGTTTTTAAAGACAGCAACAACTCTTCATTATGAAGGCAAATAACAAGTTGCACCAGGGGAGGTTTAGATTGGGTATTAAGAAAAATTTCACCACTGAAAGGGTTGTCAAGCACTGGAATGGGCTGCCTAGGGAAATGGTTGAGTCACCATCCCTGGAATTATTTAAAAGACGGGTAGATGAGGTGCTTAGGGACATGGTTTAGTGGTGGGCTTGGCAGTGTTAACAGTTGGACTTGATGATCTTAAAGGTCTTTTCCAACACAAATGATTCTATGATTCTATATTGGCTAGAAGTAACTGTAATTGCCTGGTTTACTTTTTCTCAGTCAAGATTGTATTTCAAGAAAACTTCCACCCCAGATGTTCTGTTTCTTATGAACTCAAAGATCAGCAGCAGCAGCAACTAACATCCATTAATGTAAAGCCACAGAAAAAAACCCTTTCAAATTCCTTCAGCAAGGGTACAGGCAAAATCTTAATGAAATATGTATAGTAACATTTAAAAAAAGGGAGCAAAAAGTTTGGTATCTAATATATAATCACAGACCAGGTCAGGTGTGTAGATTTCCCAGCACAAACTTTATTAGAGTTCAGTTAAAAATACGTAATCTCCAGACATTTGAGATGTAGTTCTGACTGATAAGGTAGCAGACAGGAAATGAAACCCCTCCCAAATGCTGCTCCTTATCTTGAAAAGCTCTGAAATTATTATTGAACTAATAAAGTAATTTTGCTTTTTTAAAAAATGATCTTCTTTGATAAAGGCAGTTATGAGATTATTACTTTTTGCTGGGTATGTACCATACTGATGAGCATGACAACTTCTAAGAGTCTTTACAGCAGACTCTGGTAGTGAATCTGTCAGCCTTTCTGAAAGGGATGATACTTGATCTGTTAAGCTAGACATTAGCAGACATCATCAGACATTACTATTATTAGAATTATTAGTGTTCACTATTTTGCTTTAATGTTTAGATATTAAAAGAAAATAAGTGAAAAACCACAAGATAGCCCCATACTCAGGAAGGTTCCCAGTCCTACCATGTAAAGTTTAATGACAATAGATTAATTTAAGCTCATTCTTGGGATCTGGAAAATGTGGTGTCAGTCCCTTAATGTAGAGATAGAAAACAAATCCCAAACTGGCAGGGAAAGTGCTCCTGCCACTGAGGACAGCAGACCCACTGCCATCTCCATTAGCTGTATTTTAAGGAAAGCCTCTCTTTAGAGCCACGGTGCCAGCTACGAGCTCAAGTGGAGGGACGCACCTCCTGAGAGCACTGAGGACAGCAGCTAAGTGAGGAAAGAGATGGGATTTAAGACATGTTCCTGTCCTCTCTGTAAGTCCTATAAGCTGCACTGAGGCAGTTTCTTGTTGAGGTTTGAGTGGATGTTACTAGGAAGGCCCTCAGCCCTTTCATGCCCTGGGTAAAGGGAGCTCAGACACCTTCAACAGCAGCACTCTGAATTCTGTAATGGAACCACATACACAGAGGTTGGGAATTGCTAGATTCAGGCTTTCTGTGACGTAAAAGTAACAACTGCTAGCTCATTAAAAGAACATTTTAAAAAAAAAGTTTTGATAATAGGAGTCAGAAACTGACAAAGATTATTTGATGCTTTACTAGCATTGCTATTTTCAACCACACAAAAGAGCATTGTGAAGCTCTAGAGCAGTAAGAACATTTTTGTAACACCTGTTCTGTTTCTAAATTTCAACTTCTTAAATGTTAAAATTCCAGACTATGGGAATATGTAAAGTTTATTTTCTGGGTCTTGTGGAAAAAATTTAAATATGCACATAATGATATCATGAATAAGTTATCACAAGTAATTCCAGATCGATAAAACTCAGGAAATTGTAACATTATGTCCAGAAAGCTCTATCCATGTGGAGAGTTCATCCCCAATTCTGAGTTTCTGTTCTCTACCTCTAAACCATGAAGCTACTGACTTTAAATCCTTCAAAAATTTTGTTTTAAAAGTTGGATTTCTGTAAGGTATCCAAACCAGACTATATACCACACTGGTTCTTGGATGCCCCCCATACTCATAGCAGTACATCAGAAGTCTAATTTTTATAGTGTACAGCACCCTCTACTGGGGCAGGTAGAAAGCTAACATTTCAAAGGTAATACTTAAAATTTTAAAAATTAAAGGAGACTATAGAAAAGAATAGTATCAACGTCATGCAACATAGTCATACATCACACAGTATCTCTTGTGACCATAGAAAAGTTGTGTATTATTCAATCAATACTACAAGTACTGTGAGTACTTCCAGAATTACAAGTAATTCTCATTGCTTGCCTTTTTTTTTTTTTTTTTGCAAACATCATAAAACAATTATATCAAATTTGCGCTGAACGAGCTACAGGATGAAATACACTTAACAACTACACTTTAAAGTTAGTATCTGAGAAACGACTTGATTACTCCTGTCTTCCTATTTGCAGACATATTTACCAGTGATGGCCAACAAATTTCTTTACGAGCTAGATGATACTGTTAACTTGTGCAAATAGGTTGCCACATGTGATGAACTTTTGGAAGAGTTAACAGAAAGTAACTAATAATCAAGTCATCGCTTCCCAGTAACTTGCACTGAAGAAAACACAGATCATTATTTCACACCCAAATCCAAAATGATGACACATATCTCAGTAACAGTGCCATAAGCTGATGCAGGCATTAAGGGTTATAAACAACTAATTTGCAGAATATGGGGCAAATTTCAGAAGAAAAAATGTTGAACTGACCTCTTCATCAGAGTCATCTGCAAACACTGAAAGTTTCTTCGAAACGAGATTTTTCTGTGGCAGTTTCTTTGGCATAATGAGCCCATATCTAGGGAAAAAAGTAAAAAGTTACCTTTAACATTACTTACCACAAAACACATAGCATGTTCCAGAACAAAAATCTACCACTCACAATTTTAGAAACAAAAGATCAGGATCAAGATAATGTATCAAGTATAGACCTGAGCAGCATTTACAGCAGTGCACTCAGCCTTGCCCACACACTTACCAGCTTCTCCCATAGCTATTGCTGGTTTTCATCCAAAGTTTCTGGATGCAATGATCTTCCTAAATTAGGCCACAAATCCCTCTTATCTGGAGGTCTCCAGCTGATTATTTTTTTTTCTCCCCCAGAGAAGTAATAAATTACTACTGTTTAACCTCCAGAGATTTGGTCTTAGTCTACACTAGACAAAACTATGTTTGCTGGGGCAAGAAGTTAATCTATTTTGCACGGCAATTTAAACCACCAACACACAGATACAGCTACAGTAAAAGCCAAGATTTACAGTCACGCAGAGACTGATTAACCGCACACCCAGAACTCCTCTGCTGACACAGCCAACCTCTGTGCTGAGAAACACTTCCTATGTTTTCAGTAATGAGCAATCTCTCAATCAGCGATTTCTCCCCCACCTGCCTTTCCCCCAGTCCATCACTGAGTAAACAGTTCGTCACAGCGTGTAGCGTTCAGCTGGAGAACTCCACGATGCCGTCACCATCGCTGTGACGAACTATTTGCTTCCGTGTGCTCCGACCCCGCCGCGGGGAGCCGAGAACCGAACGGCCGCCCCAGCCGGTGCCGCCGCACCGCGGCCACCTCAGGCCGGTGCTCGGGGAGGTGAGAGGCGGCAGCTGCACCGCGGGTTGTGTGGGAAACCTGAGGGGATTCGGCTTCTTAGGAGTGAAAACTCTCCCTCGGCAACACAGAAGCTGCCTCCCATGCCTTCCCACTGTTTTGGTTTTGTTTCAATAAACACTGTTTTAATTCAGGCCA